TGGTATTGAGGAGGGCACCTTTTGGGATGAGCACTGGGTGTTGTATGGAAACTAATTTGACAATAAATTTCATATACTGAAAAAAAAAAGTTTTACATAGGAAAAAAAAATAATAAATAAAATAAAAATTTTTCCAGGTTTTATCATTGTTACCTGTGGAAGGGTTCATTCACCTTGCCAATTATCCATTACCTAAAGCTGGCAGTCCCCTGTTTTTTTGAGATCTCCCAAAATTGAATTTGTAATTTTATAGAGTATAAAATTCTAATTATTGGTAGTACTATAATATAAAATGGAATAAACTTCTTAAAATAATGGAAAAGCTCCAACTTCCATAAATGTAAAAATCAATTTGCATGTAAACACAGAACAAATGTACAATTTCCTCACGCAGCCTATACTGTACATGGTGCCTTCCTATTCCCGGAACCCATATATACTAAACTGGAATACAATCAGGCCTAGGGTTGTCAGAACATGATGAAAATCAACAAAGCAAATAAACCACTTGCAACTATTTAAAAGTTAAAAAGAATTAAACTCCCAAAAAGATTTGTAAACTGGTTTAAATAATGTCCCATGGATTAAAAGATTTAAAAAGGAAGATGGGTAATTGAAATAAAACTTATTGTACACCTTTTAGAAACAATAGCAATTAATTCATTGTAACACTTAAGGATGGTCTTTTTAAAATGAAATACTTACCTTTGTTCTTTCTAAAATGAGAAAACATTTTTAATAGTATTTTTCAAAATGCATTACCCATTTCCTTATACCAAGACAGCAAAAGTAAGAACAACTGAAAAAAGAATCCACAACATTTGCTTTTACAAATTCTACTTACATTCTCCTTTCACTGATAATTAGATACTAAAATTTCATGAAATTTCAATCACAAAACTGTAAAATCAACAAAGTAAATCTGTGATAATTTGTAAAAAGCTCAGAATCTGTAAGTAATTTAGGTCCATTATATGGAAACTGCTAAGTTGGGGTTTGAGTATTTGAGTATTCTGAAGGATCTCTTTATTCTCACTATAGCAGTAGCAAAATAACTATAATCCCACAATAAGCAAAACAATCTATTTTCATTCAGAATGAGTATAACAAATAGAATGGAGGAAATGGAGACCACGGGCATCTTTTCACACCAATTTTATAAAAAAAAAAAAAAAAGAAAGAAATAGAAGAAAAAGAAAAAAAAAGAAATATCCACTATGATTCTATCATTCTTCCTTAATCCAAAACATTAATATGGTGGTTTTTCTCTAAACCAGACACAGAAAAGTCTGATAGGAGAACTGCAATCAAACTAAGTGGATTAAGCAATGATACACAAAAGCAACACTGCTGATGTTGAAATTCAAGCATAAGCAAGCGTAACAATCAGCCAAAAATTGGAAAGAGGCAGAGGAAACTTTTGGTAGTGTTGGATATAGTAATTATCTATATCATGTTAATGACTTCACAAGTGCATATATATGTCAAAATTTACCAAACTCTATGCTTTTGCATGCAATTTTATCTCAACTAGATTTCAATAAAGCATTTTTTAAAAATTAGCAGGGAAAAAATCATTATTCATTTTTACCCATCACTCAGCTACTTTAAAGACAAAAGTGGAAACAAATTCAGAGTCTATAACCAAGTATAATCAACAACTCATGGATCACAGGCAAAGAGTCGTCCAAGTTCAAAGAAGAGGTATATCAACTTTTTCAAAAGAAAGAACTTAAGTCTCAACGGAAGTATCCTGAGACTGGTCAAACGATTATGGAGGTGACATTGCCTATGCAATTTATGTCCCACCCTGGTGCAAAATGCTCCTGGTTTCCATTTCCAAACAGATATGTGATGACACAGAGTTTATCAGGATTTGCAGCCTTACTGTACTTCTCTTCCTTGCACCTCTGCAGAATCTCTAAGCTCCTCTGGTGGACTGGGTGTTGGAGAAAGCTAAAACTATCCATACTTTTCAAAATTGCACATGGCGCTGTATCATCATGTCCTTAGGAAGCAAAAGAAAAACAAAAAAATGGAGAAAAGAAAAAGATTACATAAGCCCAAACCAATAGAGATTCAAGGACAATGCTGCCAACTATCTTAAGAATATATATAAGTGTATCAAGTAATAGGAATTAAATGTGAATAATTTTTCTAAATTGATTTGCGGAAATTACACAAAAATAAAAGGAAAACATAAAGGTATTTTTTAGATATTCAAAGTATCCTTATCAGTATTCAAAGTGTTGTGAGATAACATCACACTGAAAATTTCTAATTTAAAATATTAGGGAAATTTCAAAACAATTTGTATGATTTAGCTATTTTTTTAACAGACCCATTTTTATCAGGTCTGAAATATAATTAGCATATAGTTGGCAACAATGCAAGGAACAATGATGGAACACCAAAGAGAAATATACCCAAAACAATTTACCAAAAGTTAAACAATTCTTTCACAAATCTTGCAATAAACCACACTTGTAGGAATTCCAACAAGTGTGTCAATGTTTAAAGAGCAGGAAGAAAAGCAAAACAGAGCAGGAAAACCCAGCAGCACTTTGGTATTTATAAATCTGAAAAGAAAGTTGGAAAATGTACCTCACCACCACTTCTTAGTCAAGTGAGACAGGATCAACTACTGGTGGGAAACGGAAGAGAGCATGTTCACATAAGGACCAAAGCCCCAGATTAGTGCTACTGAAACCATGAGTCACTCTAGCAATGATGAGGATTTGGGGGATGTCAGTACCATTAATATTAGCAACAGACGGATTTAAAAGAGAATAGGCACCGCCAGTTTTGGGAGGTGGTGTTGAGTATCATTTACTCAAAGAACATCTCTAGAGATAAGACGTTATATTCAAATTTGTGTAGGTTTGCCTTTAAAAAACAAAAGGGGGGAGAAAAGGGAATGGTTTAACAACAGAGGCAAAGTAAGCAACACAATGAACTAAAGTTTCATTAGTGCATATTTACTCTATAATTTGGAATGAGATACTATATAGGAACAGTTCTCAACACAGGATCATTTAAAAAGTTAAACAGAGGCAGAGTAGTTCAAACAAGTTGGCAAAGCATGGTTTAGTCTAACCATAATTCCTTAAACTGGATCCAGAGAAAAGGCATCTACATTTTAGCTGAAGACATGGAATCTTACAATACATTATATAGGAATAAACACATAAATAGCAGGCTTTTAAAAATGAAATAGATGTGAAAATTATTTTCACATCCAATATTAAAAGAGTAAACGAATAAAACACTATCTCATCCACTGTGGAGAGCCCACAGCTGCAAATGTTCAATGTTTCAAAAAGAGACAAATATTATCAAGTTATCTATCATTTCTAGGTCAAAGAATACCTCAGTAAAAATATTCTACACTCATTACCAATAATTCTCCCCTCCGTGTTTGACAGGCTACTTGAAGAAAGAATGCTTAGGTTCAGACTAGCCTGTATTTTACCAATAATCCTCCCCACCACGTTTGATGGGCTACATGAAGAAAGAATGCTTACGCAAAGAGACTAGCCTGTACTTGGTTAGTTGCTGGTGACAGAAGGTAAGTATCAGTTGAAGGGGACCATGTGAGGGGGGGGGGGGAGAAACAAACACATGGTGAGTTCTATTTATACTCCCTCCAAACTGTAATTTTAAAAAGTTATCACTAGACCTTTAGGCCTTTCAATAGCTATCTTAATAATCTGCCAGTCAAAAACAGTTTTAAGGAGATTATGGTATTAAAGCATTTTATGTAAAAGTTCAGGTATTAAATACACTAAATTAGTAAGCAGTTTGAAGAAATCACTTGACATTACTACAGCCAGCACACTCTTTTATCTAATTAAATTGTAGCAATGCCGTTAATTTTATAATTGTGACAGGTTTATGTCTCACCATCATACCTACCTTATTTTTTTTTTTAATTTCTTTCATTCTGCTTTCTATGCTCTAACTCTTGTTTTAGACTATAATACCATTTCGAAACCTTAAGCTGACCTTCCTGTTGTTTGCTGTGTGTAACAACTCCCTGTTAAGGTGGTTAGGCTTCCTAGGATAAGTATAGAAATACATTTTCAGTGAGTCTTCTTGTCTAAGGAGTCCCATAAACTCTTAAAAGATGTTTATTAATGTTGGTGTACGCTAGTTCCTGGTCTAATTTTGATAATTTCTTAGCTTGAGATCATGCATCAAAAACACAGCATAAATTCAGATCCCATACCTATGCATGGTAAAGACATGGGCACTGGTTTTTTTACAGGTAATTTATTAAGAAAAATCTTATCTAGGGGTGCCTAGGTGGCTTAGTCGGTTAAGCATCCGACTTCAGCTTCAGCTCAGGTCATGATCTCACAGTCTGTGAGTTCAAGCCCTGCATTTGGCTCTGTGTTGACAGCTCAGAGCCTGGAGCCTGCTTCGGATTCTGTGTCTCCCTCTCTCTCTGCTCCTCCCCTGCTCATGCTCTGTCTCTGTCTCAAAAATAATAAAATAAAAACATTAAAAAAAAAAAAGAAAAAGAAAAATCTTATCTAACGCCTAACACAGATTGCTAAGGTCCTTCTTGTTTCTATGCTCAAGGCCAATGGACAGAATTTTTCAATTATCTTTTCAGCGACAGAAAAGTCCAAGCTCTTCTAAGATACTACCACATAATGGGAACTCAATCCTAGCTAATCGTTCAAATCTGAAGCCATGTATCTGATCCTAAAGTAGTTTCTGTAATACCAGCTCCTGGGCCTTATGGCCATAATAAAGGTATATCTCATACACAGTAAAATCCACCAATCTCAAGTTTAAATTTGATAAGCTTAAACAAATATTTACTTCCATATAATCCTCAATCAAGAGGATTTCCAGGGGCGCTTGGGTGGCTCGGTCAGTTAAGTGTCTGACTTTGGCTTAGGTCATGATCTCACAGTTCATGAGTTCAAGCCCCACATCAGGCTCTGTGCTGACAACTCAGAGCCTGGAGCCTCTGGATTCTAAGTCTCTCTCTCTCTCTCTCTCTGCCCCTCCCCTGCTTGTACTCTGTCTCTGTCTCTGTCTCTCTCAAAAATAAACATTAAAAAAATTTTTTTAAGGATTTCTATTATCCATATACCCATTATTTCATCCCCTTCCAATCAATACCACTCTTGTCCTCCCAGAAACAATCAAGTTATGGTTTCTATCACTATGTATTATTTTGCCTGTTCTTAAACTAAACAAAATCATATGCGTTATATCCTGGCTTTTTTTTGCTCAGTTTTTGTGACTCATTATGAATATAAGTAGTTTGTTCTTTTTTACTGAGGAATAATGTTACATGGTAGGAATGTATCATAATATGGGTTATCCTTTCTTCCACTGATGGATATTTGAGTGTTTCCAACTGGGAGCTGTTAAATTAAGAGGCACCCCTCTTCTTTTTTAAGAGATATTTGAAGCTATAAATTTACCTCTAAGCATTGTTTCAGCAGCATCCCAGTAAGTTTTGGTGTATATTTTCTTCCATTCATCTCAAAATATTTTAAGTTTTTACATATTTTGAGAGACAGAGAGAGTGCAAGCAGGGGCAGGGCAGAACAGAAGAACCCCAAGCAGGATCCATGCTACCAGCACAGAGTCTGACACAGGACTCAAACCCACAGAATGCAAGATCATGACCCGAGCCAATATCAAGAGTTGGACGCTCAAACAACTGAGTCACCCAAGCACCCCATCAAACTGTTTTCTTTCTTTCTTTTTTCTTAATTTTTTTTAATTTACATCCAAATATTTTTTATTACGTTTCTTTATTTTTGAGAGGCAGAGAAAGACAGAGCATGAGCAGAGGAGGGGCAGAGAGAGAAGGAGACACAGAATCCGAAGCAGGCTCCAGGATCTGAGCTGTCAGCACAGAGCCTGACGTGGGGCTCGAACTCACATGCCGTGAGATCATGACCTGAGCTGAAGTCGGACGCTCGACTGAGCCACCCAGGCACCCCTAATTAACATCCAAATTAGTTAGCATATAACCATCAAACTGTTTTCTAATTACCTTTGTGATTTCTTCCTTGACCCACTGGTAATTAAGAAGTGAGATCACAGTTCGTGAGATTGAGCCCCATGTCTGTGCCAACAACACAGAGCCTGCTTGGGATTCCTTCTCTCCCTTCCTTCCCAATCTCCTGCTCACACACTCTCTCTCAAAATAAATATAAAAACAACAACAACAACAACAACCCTGGGGCACCTGAGTGGTTCAGTCAGTTAAGCGTCAGACTCTCGATTTCAGCTCATGATCGTAAGTTCGTAGGTTCGAGTGGCACACTGACACTGCAGAGCCTGGTTGGGATTCTCTCCTTCCTTCTCTTTCTGCCCCCCCCCCC